GTATTTCTTAGCATGAAAGCTAGCGATTTGCCTTTGTATGATTAAAACCCGGCTAAATATGTTAAACATTGCTATCACTATGAGATTGTATGTGTTTAATTGGAAATAGGAATAACTTTTCGGTCATCAAAACAAAATTTTATTTTTCTCGGATCGGTGCGAATGTTACTTACGACATAATGAAAATTTGCTCTTGAAGTTAAGGCTATTTTTCACGCAGATGGGGCTGTCGCATTGGTAGTAAGTAATAAAAATCCCCATCTAGAAATTTGTAAAAGTTTAAAAAACATGCTTTTGAGCCATATTCAGGTCAAAAGAAGTTGAAGACAACTTAAACAAACAATTCGTATACTTTGTCGATCACTTTTTTCCTGGGTATTATTGTTAAACAAGCTACGGTTAAATAAAAAAGGTTTATTTCCCACACATTTTTTAACTTCTTTACTACCAGTCAGCCAAAAAATCAAATTTGAGAAGAAAATTCTCTCTCACGAGCTCAATCTCTCAACATGCCAACACGACATTAATACGACCCATCAAGCGGAGCACAACGGTCTCGTCCACTGTTTTGGCGATTTTATTCCACCAATTCTTCATCACAGCTGCCTGTTTGATGACTGTACCATTTACGATCCTCTCATGCCCAACTTGGGATTCACAGGCGTTGACACCGCATATTGGATAAGAAATTCGTCAAAGGTTCTGCAATCCTACCATAGATTTAACTCTAAGACCAGAAGGTCCCGAAGAAACGAGCTCAACTTTTTGGCTCAGCTCTGGTACTCTCTTCGGTCCCAATCTAATCGATTCACCCCTCGAAACATACACGGTAAGAAAAAAGTACCCAAAATTGAGTTCCTTTCACTCATCACGTGGCTTCCGTGGGGCTAGGTAAAATTAAGTTAAAGAAGAAAACTCAATTTTGAGTAATCCTTGCGTTGACCAAGTTGACAAAAAAATAATAAAACAGAGCAGACTGGAACCGAACCATGGACGTTGAGATTACGGGGCCCGTGTGTTGACCACTCGTCTCTCAAGGCTTGTGAAAATGAAATGGTTAAAGGCGCATAAAAGCAACCTCAATGAAAATAAACTTATTTTTGAGTTCATTTATTATTACTCAATAGTTGAGTAAATTTTAACCAACGCCGCTTTTCTGATTCACTCAACGGCGGACCTCAAATGATAGAACCCAACGTTGATTTTTTTTTAACTTAATTTTGAGTATTTTTTCTTACCGTGTAGGAAAATCCAAAAAAACCCCTCATTTTATCTGTCAAACTTTCATAGCAAATCAAAACAAATATTGTGTAGTAGTAGAATTTCGACTAGAATGGGGTACGTTAATCGTTTGCTTGGGACCAATAAGCTAGTCAAGTAGTAAACCAATTTAAAATCGTTAGTTTCGTATTGATTGTTGATCCTACTCTGCCCTCTGGGACAAACAGATGAGGACACTGCATCCACACTTTGAATTATGTCTTATCTTTCTTTATTAAAGAGATTTTTAGCTGTTGGATGGACTGAACCGTCTCTGAAGTTGAACCGTAAGACCTCTGAAGCTAACCCAATAAATGTCTATAGTTGACTCATTAATAAATTATGAATCAACTTCAGAAACGCAGGGCTGTCATCTGATCACTCAATGCGCGCAATGGACTGATTTTCTGAAATAAACAAAGTGAGAATCAACCAAACACAAAGTCTAGATAGAGCTGGAATTAGGGCGAAACAGCTTTTGTAAACAATGACTTCTATCGATGATTTCTAGGAACTCAAGGCACGCCCACGCAGACCAACATATCCATCGGATGTTGGTTTGCGTGTGTGAGCCTTGAATTTCTAGGAATCATCGATAGAAGTCATTGTTTACAAAAGTTGTTAGGCCCTAATTCCAGCTCTATCTAGAAGTTTGCTTGTCTTTCACCCTGCGCAAGTGTAAAGCAGCGGAGAAGAGAAGACAGACACACACCCAGAAATAACGAAAGCTTAATGATTAGCCGCAGCGTTGCCAGATTGTTTTAAAGCTTATCGGTATCAAAGCTATTAAAAAATCGGTATTTATCGATATTTTCTATTTATTTAATTTTATATTTTTGCCGTTTTTGAAAGCGAAAATTTTAACGATGGTGACGACTGGGACAGAGGAGAATTGCTTTGTTTGACCGCTTTCTCCATCTTTAAACACTCAATAATTTTTTAATTTAATTTTAAAATTATCGTTGTCCTTAAGTGGTGATCAAAAATTGTGACCAAGTAGTGTTCATGGCCGAAGTGTCGGGCAGATTACATCGTAGTCATGCAGTGTTATAAGACTGAGATAGCCGTTAATCAAAGCAAAATTTTAGCTTTTGAACTATGATTGGAAAATTCCGGAAGAAAATGTTTGAATTAGCTTCTGAATGGTGCTGAAAAAAACATCCAGAGAAAGTCGAAAGAAGGTCTCCTGGATGAAGCTCGAGAAAAGCTGGAAAAACATCTGGGAAACTTGCAAGACACAAATTGAGAAACTTGTGGCGAAAATTTGATTAAACTATCGGAAAAAAATCGGATGTCACATCCAAAGGAAGCCATAAAAGTTTCGAAAACCGGAAGCAAATTTCCAGAAGAAGCCATTTCCAGGGAAAGCCAGAACAAGCTCGGAAAAAAACTTTCAATAGAAGTCGAACAAAAAAACCTTTGGCTTATGGTCAAACTTCAAGAAGAAGACGAAATAAATTTCTGGGAGAATTCATTGAACTTCCTTGAGAAGACGAAATAAATTTTCTGGAGACGCTGGCAGAAACTTCCTAAGGTATATTGGAAGAAACATCTGAAGAAAGTCGGAAACCAGAGCGCTTACGGAACAGTCGGAAGAAACAAGGACATAATTCCGGAAGAAAGGGGGGATGTTCTAATGATCCAGAAATTTTTCCTGATATTCAAAATACATCCCTGAAGACTTCGAAATGTCTCTGAAGTTTTCGGAACATTCCTGAAATGCACTTAGGAATATTCCATAATTCCTAGAAATTCCTTCAAAGATCTTGTAATTTTCCTGAAATAAGTGGTTGCTTTGGAGTTCTCTAGTCATCCTCGAAGCGGAACTTCCCTGATTATAATAAGACTACAGGAATATCTCTAATCATCTTAGAAGGTCTCTGGACTATCTTGAAGATTAAGAAATCTTTTAATTGCTCTCACAATTTTCTTGAATTTATTGTAACATCAGGATTGAAGTTCTCTGATCTTCATTTTTTTGAATTTTTAAAAGCTATCGACACTGCCATTAAAAAGCATAGAACTTCCCGTAAAATGTTCTCACAATGTTCTAATGTTCATGTAACTTCCCTTACGTTTCCACGTTTCCTAAATTTGCATGAACCCCTCAGGACATTGCTGAAGTTTTCGGAAATTTCCTGAGTTTCTCTGAACTTCTTTATAATTTCAGCAATTCCATTGAAATTAATTGATCTGTCCTGATGTTCTCTGAGCTTCAATAAAGTTCCTGAAAACTATTAAATTTCCCTGCAGTTCTTTGGACTTGTGAAGTTTCCAAAATATTTATGATGTTTCTTTAAGTTCACTGAAGTTCGCTGGATTTTTCTGAAATTTCCGGGTTATCGAATTTTAACAGAAGTTTTAAGTTTGAAACTGTCTTTAATTTATCGAAACTTACACAAAAATCTGGACTTTTCTGAAGTGTCAGAACTTTTTAAATGTTCCTGCAGCTAGTGTGGATCCGCAATAAAAATCTGATAGCATCCTTGAAGTTCCTTAAAAGTTGGAAAAACTGGCGGGAGAAGATGAAAGAATCATTCGAGCGAAGGCTGAAGAGGCTTCCACGGTAAGGTGGAAGAAAATTCCAGGGAACGTCCTGAAGTTAAATAATGTTTAAAAAATATTTCTCAGTACAAGTAACTTTATAAATTATCGGAAATATCCATCGACTATTTCTCGATTGATGGGCCAATAAAAAGGAGGAAATGCAAACATTAGTCGCAAGATTATCAAGCATAAGGCATCTTTAGAGATCATTGCTTAGAATGTTGAAGACTCAAAAAATATGAGGTATTCAAAAAGCTACAAGCTTGTGCAGTTATAGCAATAATACAGTATACACCGTTATTTGTAAAACTCAAAAAAAAAAAATTAACGTTGTAATTTTTCAGTTTATGCATCAACATTTCTGAAATGTTGGCAACTGGAACATGGTGGCCAGAGATCCGTTGAATTGATGTGCTGAAAATGTGTCCACTCCATCTACTGGACAGATGCCTGCTGCCAATTTGGGGTGTGGGTGAAACCTGCATCGTTCGGTTGTTCCAGCCAAGTATGCCATCGTTTGCAGTTTCCTTCCACTTCCATGCTGTACAATCCAATCAATTTTATGTTGGCGTTTGAACCAAGTTCCCGTTTCAGGATATTGCAATACTAATGAACTTTAATCATGTTTACCAGAAGAAGATCATGATTAACATAATAGAGTTCATGCTTCTATGACTTGTGTTGCCTTTCCTGGTGCTCAGTGCAACGTAACGCAGGCGTTACGTTTAGTTTGCGTAACAATGTTCACGATTTCATGATTTTTATTCATGGTGTACTATTTATCGTGAACAAATTTGTTACTTGTACCGAAAATCGTCACTTTGAGGTTGACGAATTTCGGAACGGATTTTTTCCCGTGTGCACTAGAAATTGTAAGACGTTCCAATTCGCTTGAAATTCAATGCGGTGTTTTCGAAACTCATGGCCCATTTTTATTAGTAACTGCCTTTCTTATTACAACCATTTCAAAACCAATTGCTACACACTTCAGTTGTTTTAAATTCTATAATTAAGCTTATGACAGACATAATTGTTGTACCGTTGTACTCCTTTAATCCATTATCGCAATCGAAGTACTAGATTTATTGAGTACAGTGGTACTACAATCATGTATGTCATGAGTTTTATACGATTTGTATCCAAAATCTAAAAAAAATCGAGCCATTTATTAAAAAAAACCTCCAATGACTCACCTGTGTATTCTGTCCGACGACATCGCTCCGTTATCTGCTAACTCAACGTTTCTGCTTTCATTGATTCCACTGAGCTGTTTCTGCACAACTTCCCACCAACTTGTTTTTCACCTCGTACACACCACAGTCCAAATCATCTGCTTCGTAAACACACGATCCCACTGCGATAACCCCTATCTGCAATTCACAAATCACTCATTCAGCTTTATCATCTGTGCAGAATAGCAATCTTCATTGAAAAGTAAAAACATCATTCGTATGCTGTCTTCAAGCACATAACACTTCTCCCAGAAACCCACACATAGCACACATATCTGATGGGACGGTTCGATATCACTTTCTTCGAGTTTAATGCTTTTGGATGGTTGTGCTCTGGCAGGTTCCAACATAAAAGATAAAACCACTATTTTCTTTTGGATGTGTAGTGCACGCACCTGAGAACACGATCCGCGCGTGTGAATCAAGCTTAAACGTAATACATACAATTGAACACTCCAAACAACCACAGCAAGCGTAGGCAAATTAAAATTGAATGCACCGCTAGAAGATATAATTTCGCTTTGGCAACAACCATTGCAGAGACCAGAAGAGAAGAGTGTGCTGGTGATGGTATAAAGATGGTGTGTACGGATTCAACCGAGGAAGCGAAACGGATAAAAGGTAAACAAAACTCGACTTTCAGCGTTGTTACTGTAAAACATTTATTCACTTTAATAAAAGAAGAAAAAAGTATTTCAAATCATAGCGAGCTTGTGCAGCAGGAGAAGAGGAACCTAAAAAAACTTTGCGCTGATTCCAGATAATAATTGATTTTTATTTTTTGAACCAGCCTACAGGAGTGCACCATCATCACCGAATTCAATTCGAATGAAAAATCACGCCGTACATTTGTCTCTTTTAATGGCACTAATTTATTCGTAGGTCTTGTTTCATTCAATGTTTATCTGGTAGCTGATTTGTCGGAATTTGGCAGTGTTTTGTTTGAATCACAGAGTTGATGGAATAGGAAATCTAACGGTGACATTTTCACTTGCGCTGTGCGTCTGAGGCCTATCTGCGGATATTTCCACAAGAAAAGCGTTTCAATTTGAAAAACGAAGCTGTCCACGTGCTAATGTAAATGTTTTATCGAGCAGCAACGCTATAAAAAAATATACACATAATTTCACAGCGGACCATGACCTCGTAAATGATCGTGGTACCGTATCCTAGTGTATCGCTATTATGTTAGTAAAAAGAGAATGAAGCAACCATCGAAGTAGAATAGTAGAGTTAATTTGCATCAAAATAGGCAATTGAATGCCAGAGAATCCAGCTGCGGAATAAAGTGATTTCCGATAATTATACGCCTTGGTCGTGAACGTGGTCCATTCGAAATGCAGTTGAATGGACTAGCATTAGAACGTTTATCTCTGCGGCGAAAAGCCGTTGACCACCATGTCACGATGTTATTTTATTTTTTTTTTTTTGTTAATTACTTTATTTGTACAGGCTCAATCGAATAAACTTTACAGAGCCAAGTTATCATTTTGTTTATACATTATAAATGTCTTAAATCTAAAATTAAAGGATTGGAACCGATTGCTCGCGGTCTTCTCGAGGTTAGTGGATGACAATTGTTTGGATCGGGAGAGGGAAAAGGAGATTTGGAATATGATTTATGATTCAAAAATTTCACTATTTCTAAAACATATACTTAATCCTATCGACGTTATATCAACTCTGTATTTATACAATTATTACAGAAACAAATCTACAAAAAAAAACACACACACATACAAAACACAAACTAAACACAAGGTTAATCAAACTTACAATCTATGGTTAATATTCTTCAAGAAAACATATATGAGTTGCATAAACTCCAGATCGCGTCTAGCCAAAATATTCCGAACTGGAACATTAGGTTGTCTACCTCGAGCCCGAAGGGAATCGTACAACTCGGATCTGACTAACGTCACGATGTTATCGTGGATGTTTTTTCACTCCAGCATTACTTATTCATTGTTCAGGAAAATTTGACATTCATAATATGAATGATTGCTTTTTTTGGCCATGTGGGTTTTTTTTTCCTAATAAGCTTGCTCCGTCATAAATTAGTTTCATGGAAAATAGGCGTTCCAGCTGCCACAGTAAGTTATCAACCTTATTTGTTGGGATATATATTCTGACAGTATTTCACTAAGTGTTTTTACATTATTCTTGCCTTAGCAGTTTAGTATTTTAAATAGGTTTTTTATACATGCGTGTCAGTATAGCAATGATCATCTTAAAACTAAAAACTTAAACAAAATCATATCTCATAAAGGGAATTGATTGTTGTGAGAAATCAATGCTCGATTACTTTTTCAAATGGACGTATCAGCTTTTGTAAACAATGCATTTGATCGTAGATTTGGCGTAACTGGTAGATTTGTGTTTTTAACCACAATTTGAAGATTTCAATTTCTTATGATCTTTCTTCACAGGACAGACGTCCTTTGCGTGAGAGGAATCACCACAATTCATGCATTTAGCTGGCGTGTGGCAATTTTTTGTTCCGTGACCCCATTCCTGGCACTTACGGCACAGAGTGCGGTTTTGGAAGCTTCCTCCAGTCTTCCTGAAGTGTCCCCACTTCACTGGGCTTGGAGCATAAGGCTAGCCTTCTCTAAGGCCTTAATCTTCATTAAATTTGAAGTGAAATAAATAAAAATCATACGAAATTCCGATGCGTGGAGATCACCAGGACGGGAATTCATTTTCTCCATTCTCTCAACTCCAAGTTAAATTTGTCAATTTATTTTTGAGCTGATCCAGGGATTCACCACTGAGCAGACCTGTTAAGTCTACCTTGAACAGACGTTCAGTTTTGATGTGGTAAGTAAAACATTTGTGGCTCTTCTCAACAAGATACTTGAGAAACCGTTTGAGTCCATCCAAGGTTTCAGATGGCCAATTTGAAGTGATATTTAATTTGAATTCATTAATGAAGTTCAGAAGTTCCTTGCAAAGAGCATGGGAATCGGAAGTGGTTACCACAATATCGGGGACTTATTCCTTATTGGCATTAAGCCGGAAATATTTAGTGGAATTTTGTCTGGATGATGGATCATTCTCATCATCCGTGAGCATATAACATTGATTGCTCAAATAAATTTAATCAAAATTGAGATCAAGATATTGCCCTTTTCTTTTGCGTTCAGGCTCCATGGCAGCAGAAAAAACTACAAGGGACAGCCCTATGGGGTTGTCCGCAATGTCGACGTAGGACTATGTGGTCTTATATAATAAATCTTATTTGTTAACTGCAGTAGGAGCTTGTGTTTGGCGTAGGAATAGGAATTTGAGCGGGGTTCTCTCTGTTTATACTATTTAGTACGACGCACTTGACATAGGCCCACAGCAACTAACGAAGAGCTACTAATTCCGATCAATGGCGGTACAGCTTCTTCCTCTTTCTATGGATGCTCATGTGGGCTGCAGTTCACTGCTTGCAGGCAGCCTTTCATTGTGTACTGGAGAACACCACCAATCACCATGCGGTGATTGAATACATACACAGTTAAGGCCCACGCACATTAGATCCGGATCGGACGCGTTGCGGCAAAGTGACAGCTAAATCTATTGTCTAACTGTCAAATTTACGTCAACGCAACGCAAACGGATCTTATGTGCGTGGCCCTTTAGGTGAGACCGGTTGGAATTCAACTTTGAAATCTGTGTTAGGGAAATCGCTTTTCACAGGCAATCGGTGATAATTTTAATTACCATCATCACATAAAAACTCCTATCGTATGGCGTATTAAGAATTAAAATCCATCATCTCTGGATCAAAATGAGACCACCTAAATACCGCGACCGACTTTGGTTTTTGAAATCGCACCCTCAATGTTGAAGTACATGGTATGATAGATTTAAACATATCTAGATAGAGCTGGAATTAGGCGTAACAGCTTTTGTAAACAATGACTTCTCTCGGTGATTTTTAGGAATTCAAGGCACGCCCACCCAAACCAATATTACCGTCGGGTAGGGGTAGTCTTATTAGGACTATTACCAAACCGTTGGTGGAGGTTTGTTGACGATATCTTCAGCGTAGTTAAACGGGAAGCCCTTCCACAAATTTTAGATGAGATCATCAAAATTCACAAGGATATAAAATTCACTTACGAGGTAGAAAATGACGGGAAACTCGCATTTCTCGATCTTCTAGTCATCAGGAAATCGTCATCGTCTTCGACCACTTGGAAAAGGAATCTTTCGCTGTGGTGTGAGACACCCGCAGGAAGTGCGCTAGGACGGCCACTTGGAAAGGGAAGCTATCGTCACGGTGTGAGTCACCTGCAGGAAAATTTGATAGTGCGCTGGGACGACCACAAAAATCTGTCACTGCGGTGTGAGACCCGTAGGAAGATTGGATGATAAATGATATAAAAAAAACTAAAATGTATCTTGATAATGTTAACTTCTGTTGCATCATTCACGGTAGCCACCATATGCAAACGTCGGCAGTTGACACGGCTGACGGATGGTGTTCACCACGATCTAGACGGGTGGGGAATCATACTACTCTATTCATCTACGGATCTCGTATGAACGTTGAGCAGGCCAGGGGAGGAGAATACCGGGCGGCTACTGGTGCAATAGCTGTACTGTATAGAGTGGTAGTAATACAATGTCGAAAGGCAATAGATATGTCCGTTTAACTGACCGGAAAAACCGGGATTGGTCGAGGCCTAAAAAACATTAATGTGCTCAGTAGAGTGATGCAAAATTTGAAATTTTCGCTCCACAATACTTAAACGATTCCAAATCGGATCCTGACTAACCTCTCAAAATTTGAACCCATTTGGTGAGAAACTGAGATCGCACAAACCATTTGAAGTTTGTATTGGAATTACTATGGTAAAAGCAAGATTTTTGTTCATGTCTATCTAATAATTCACCATATCAGTCTGCTTCAAAAACTTTCAACTGTGCTTGTAGGAAATTTTCCCAGCTTATTCCCAGCAGATCGAAAGTTATCAATGGTTCAATGCGCTGATGTCTTATGATCATGCTCAATCAACTGCTCAGCAGGCAACATTGGTGTTTCTGGGGCGTTGAATAGGACACAAAAATCATGGCTACTATGTCACACTGCAAAATACAGTGTTGCCTACAGAGCAGCTGCTTGATCATGTCATAAGTTTACC